CTGGCACAGGGTGCCCAGAGAAGCTGTGACTGCCCCATCCCAGCAAGTGTCCAAGGCCAGGCTGGGACTTAGAGCAACTTGGGATAGGGGAAGGTGTCCCTGCCCATGCTGGGGACAGAGGCAGGGCCTTGGATGGGATGAATTTCCAAGTCCCTTCAAACCAAAGCAGTCTGGGATTGTATTTCATCTGTCTTTGGAGGAACTTGGTATCAAGATGCTCTGTGTGAGGTGATGCTCATTGGTTCAGAAAGGCTTCAGTTCTCAACTCTATTTTAGCCTAATAACGTCAGCCTTTAAAAACAGAGTAAATGTTGAGCAGCAGTGTGAAATAATTCTGATGCTGTTGCATTCTCCCCTGCTTCTTTAGTGAGATGCTGCTGCTGTGGCAGCTAAGGGAGTCATTTGATTGCAAACCCCTCCATTGTCCAAATAACAGATGAGATTTTTGTGATTCATGTATTAGAGACAAGTTCTCCTGTCCCTTCCTGAAGAACTGGCTTGAGTGTTCATTCCAATGGAACATTTAATTCCATAATATTAATCTTCCAGGGCATCTGGTTGGAATGAGTTAATCGTGTTACAGAGACCTAAAAGCCTTGGACATCCTGTTTTCTAAACTTGGTACATACCGAGTCAAATAATTTGCATCATAATCAAAAATATTGAATTTTTCACTTCCCATAAGGACTAATGAAACTATAGAGTTTCAGGTCTTTGTGATCCTTCTGTGGGAACGTGTTTTTCCCCCACTGTTGCTCGGTGAAATTTCCAGACAAGTGGGAAGATGTACAAGGCAAAAGAAGAAATGAACTCTATGCAAAATGCAGCTGGATACATGGAGAATGATGAAAATAAGAAAGAAAGTGCTAATTAAATGTGTGCTTTTGCCTCTAAATCCATGCAAATGCCATAGTACCAGTCATGCAGTTCCTGCTAGTAGGAAAATGGGATTATGGCTTGTAGGGATAGAAGAGAAGAAAATATTTGTAACTCCTTTGGATATTTCTCAGGGAGCTTTACATGGGTTACTTGCTAAGGGTTAAAAATAAATGAGAAAGATGAAATAAAGCCTGTCAGTTGTCTCTGTCCCTGTTACCCAGGTACTGGTAAATCTGGTTGTGGTTATATGTTCTTCCCTGTGTATGCTTTGGATTAAGACAAAAATCCAACCCGTCAGTATTAGACAAAAGCTCTTGCAGTGGTGCTGTGTGGCTTCCCTTACTGTGTGCAGGTCGGCATTCTGGGATGAGTCCCGTTTGTGAGCAGGGTCCTGGGCAGTGTCAGAGACAGCTCCATCCACCACAGGGAGATTGGGTCTCCTGGCCCTTGGCAAGCTGCAGCACTGTCAGGAGAGACCAGAGGCCATCAGTGGTGCACGTGGGAGAGAGAGCATCACACCAGGGCTTTGTTCCTGAAACCACAGGGCTTTCCTGCAGGGCAAGGCCTTGCTGCTGCTGCAGTAGTGCTCAGCCCAGGGCAGTGTTGGTGAAAGGCTGTGGTTTGGAGGAAAAGGGTTAAAAACGTGCTGGCCCAGTGTCAGCGTGAGGGGCTGCTGCAGCACACGGGGCTCGCAGGGCTCAGCTCTGAGTGAGCCCAATGGCCCTGGGTCCCCCCTCCCTGGAGGAGCAGACTGGTACCAGGGCTGGCTGGGGCAGGAGGCTGGGGCAGGAGGCTGGGACAGGAGGCTGGCGCTGGCCGTGTGTGGGAAGGAGGGAGGGAGGAGGGCCCGGCAGCCTCTGGACTTTGCTCAGGACCGGGACAGGGGGGATGGAGCCTGTGCCGTGCTCGGGACGTTCTGCCCATGGCGGCTCAGCGCTGGGGAGCGCGGGTGCGTAAGTAGGGAGGGAAAAATGCGCGGGGGCCGGGCCGTGTGTCCGCCTTGGCTCGCTGGCTTTGCAGCAGCCACTCCGTGGGTGTGCTGGAACCAGTTCTCCTTGTCCTGCCTCTCCTCTCGCAGGATTCCTCCCTCGTCCCGCCCAGGAGAGAGCTGCTTCCCTGCCCGAGTCCTTAGGGGATCAGCAGCAGCCTGTGACCCGTGCAGGGCTCAGCCGGGTCAGCTCGGCAGGATCTGTCCTTTGGGGTGAGGGTCATAGCAGAGTCTGAGCTCTGCTGAACCTTTCAAATGCCCTCCGTGCGTGTTTTCCCTGCTTCCCACGTGTGGCTGTTTCCCTGCCAGCAGTTCTTTGGGCTGAATATGAGGAAATAGAAGCAAAAGCTGACGTTGCATAAATATCACAAGTTTAGTGCTTTTATCTTACAAATAAAGTAATGCTTTTGTTGCTTTTCTCTTTAGGATATGCTTTACAAAAATGTTGCTTGTGTTAGTGCAGAAACAAAGCTTCTGCAGCTTTACTGAAGCCTGCCCTGGTCTGACTGGGAGAAAAATGCTTTGCTCTATTGCTTTGTGCAGACTAATGAACCTTTTTGACTTGCAGATGTCTTGCCACTATGAATTAAGTCTTGTATGATGCAAATCTCCCTTTCAGTTATGCTTTTCTTACACCTTGATTTTGAATCTTTCCTTTAGATCACGGCTTGCATGACGTTTTTCTTTCTTTTCCTTTCCTTTTGCTGTTTGCAAAGACTCTTGGGAGGATTTGACAGATGTGGTGGAGCGATTGCGCGATGATTCCGAAGGTGCGTTCCACACCCACATCTCACAGCTCTTGTTTGTGCTAATCGTTGGCTTCTGCGCTATTATTTTGAGCCTGAGTGCAAAATGCAGTTAGCTTTCCTTTCCAGTGCCAGTAGCTGTGGCTTCCTTGCATTTTCTTGGTGTTGCTTAAATGTTTGCGGGTTTTTTGTACTATTTTGACTTAAAGTGGAGGTAGAAGAAGTGAATCAATAAGGGGTATTTGCTTTTTCCTAAATGCTTTCAGAGGCAGTAGTTTCCTGAGCCTGGCAGAAGCACAGTTTAAAAGGTTGCAGCAGCATATGGAAGCTGAATTTTAAAAAATATTTCAGAAATCACTCTGAAGCTACAGATTTTTTTCTTCAGATTTTCTGCCAGTATTTGCCAAGGCTTGGCAAAAATTATTCTAAAACTTGCATTGCAAATTTTTTTTAGAACTTGTGAAGTACTAAACGAAAAACTTATTTATAGGGCTTCTTTGTTGATTTTTAAGAAACTGTGCAAATATGAAATTGTTGAATCCCCAGCGTAGCGAGCGGTCAAGCAAATTGGTACTTGGATGATTAAATCAACTGCAACTGCTCCTGCTTGGGATGCAGGTGTTGGCAGCACTACAGGCTGATGGATGTTCTCATGCCCTGAGCACACTGGTCCTTGCTGCTCATCTTCCATCTTTGCTGCTGTGCTGGGTCTGTGCCCGGGTGCTGCCTGCAGCCTCCCCAGCCACAGGCCACGTCCTCCTCTCCTGCCACAGCAGCCCCTGCTGCTTCCCAGACAAGGACATTTTCCAAGGCAGCCTTTAAGGGAGAACAGGGGGTCGAGACTTCTTTTTTTTCCATAAAATATTGTCTAAGTTGTTTTGCATTTATTCTGTCAGATGGGAGGTGTTTCTCTGCCACATGGAAGCAGCTGTACTGAATTTCAGGTTACTTCAAGTTGGTGTCCTTGATGTAAGATGGAGAACCGTAATGAAATGCTAATGAATTGGCATTGCTTTCAATGGGTTTGTTCACTTCTCCAGTGGCTCATCATTCCCTGCCTTTGATCCAAGTTTTAGCTTCATTTTAGTTGCTTCCTCCTTGTTTTAGAATAAGTATGAGGAGTGATAAAATTTACTGTCAGCAAATGAGAAGTACGAAGACCAGTCACAGCTTAACCCTTTGAGATCCTGCATTCCATTGACTCTTTGTTGACTTTCAGGTTCCTGGGTACAGATTGTATTTTTAAACAAATTACAGGGTTCTTGAATGCTTTTGGAAACATCTTCCTGGAAGCAGCTGGTTAGAAAACATGTCTGCTCTGTAGAAGCTGCGATATTTAAATAACAAAATGTCCTGAGAGTTTGATTCCTTCATTTGAAACCCAAACCCTGTGGAAAGGCCAAGGTGAAGGGCTGGGGATTTACTTTGTAGGGTTGGACGTGGGCTGTGTAGGAAAGCCCAGGCAGGGGTTTTGCAGTTAGAGGCAGAAGGAAGTTGGAGAAGGTACTGGCTCAGATGGAGCATGCCAGGTCCACACCAGGGTTGTTATCCAGTCTCACACTATATAAGCTAACTGGTTTGCAGGGTGAGAATCTTGGATAAACTGCATGTGCAGAGCACAGTTGCTCACAGCAGACTAAGGAAGCAGAAACCTTGGATTAGTGTGATACAGTGAAAATATTTTTCTGTTGAAATTAGCCAATAACCACAGCCAAAGGAACATTTTCCTTGGTGCTCTCTTGTACAGTTCCTTTAATTCTGTGTTAGGGATTGGTTTGCCACCCAGCAGAGTCACTGTGGATGCCTTGCTACCCATCAGCAGCCTTGGCCAGTGAGGAAATGTGATGAGAGAGGGTGAGGAGGAGGTCTCTGTGTGTTGGCAGTGCTGTGCCTGACTTTTCCTGGGTCTGCATTCCTGGTGACAGTGACTGTTAGCTACACTGCAGGTCATAAAGTGGATTGGAAATCCAGAGCAGGTGAGGTGCTCAGGGTATCTCTAGATCACCAGCCCCATCACCTGCAGGCTGCAGTAGTCCTGAAAGGCAATACAAACACCTCATGAAGTTGAGTCTTTCTGCAGTCCAGTGCTGCTCTGAGCACTGCACTCCTGAATGAGTACTTGGAAGTTCTCTAAACCATGGACATAAATTTAGAGGAGGAGACTTCTGGTGCTGCTTCACTCTGAGGAAGAAGGGGAATGAGAGAAGCTCTGTCCTGAGCTGCTTTTGGAAGGACTGAACAAATGAGCTGTGGTATGAGGTTTGGATGCTGGCACTGCCCCAGCTCTTCCCTCTCCCTGTGCTGGATTTTTCCCAGCCCACAGTGACATGCCCTGGGCTGTGGGTGTATTAGCTGTGCTCTTGGCTCCCTTTTTGGCTGGTGCCTCCTGCTTAGTTCTGTAGTCTGAGGTGTCTTCAGGTCAGGTCTCTGCTGCCAGGAGTAAATTCATTCGTGGAGGTGGCAGCTTGGTTCAAGGGTCCCTGCTGTTTGCAGCAGCCCTGGATAAATGGGCCTTACAGGGATGAAACTGCCTGCACCGAGAACTGGAGCCCAAAACTTGGGTGTGAGTAGCAGGTCTAAAGGCCTGGATCTTTATAATATGGTAGAGGAAGGATATAATCCTGGGAGATCTGAATTTGGGGATTTAGTATGGCCTGTCAGGAGCCATGAATATCTGCTCCTCACTGGTGAAAACCAGTGGCAGTGTTAAAACCAAGAGAGGGAAGTGGTCCTCGGCTCTATGTTACATTTAAGCTTAAAAAAATCGTCTTGAGGAAGAGACATGCAAGCTGGGATAGAGCCACATGTTGCTGATTAAGTATGAGGAAGAACAAGCCACAGGTGGAGGATTCTTACCAGTTTATAGGCTGGGGATGTGGGCTGGAACAAGGGATGGCCCTGACAGTCAGAGACACCTTGTCAAGGTGCAAAGGACAGGATGAACACCAGGCTCCAAATGTTTTTCTTGAAAACAGGGAGCTCCTGTAGTTATTGGAAGTATTAAGGCACCCTCAGTATGATACATTGTCTATTCCCATGCCATTGTGGCTTTGGCCCTGAGCTGCTAGTTGATGTTGATTTTTCTCCACAAAAGGCCTGCAGAGTGCCTCCTGTGAAACTTGCTGCCCCAAAAATGCCTTCAAAGCTGAGGCAAAAAAGAGCGAGGTGGGGTGTTACAGTGATAACAGCAGCTCTGTTGCTCAGCAGCATTTCCCTGCTCGTTGCAGACCCGAATTACCTGATGGCTAACGAGCGCATGAACCTGATGAACATGGCCAAGCTGAGCATCAAGGGGCTGATCGAGTCTGCGCTCAACCTGGGCCGCACGCTGGACTCCGACTACGCCCCCCTGCAGCAGTTCTTCGTGGTGATGGAGCACTGCCTCAAGCACGGCCTCAAAGGTATAGCCCACGCTGGGGAGCAGCAGGGTGGGCCACACACAGAGCTCTGCAGCCGGCACCACACCACGAGAGGCTGGGCACGGTCCCTGCTGTGAGCACAAGGGACCGGGCAAGGCACAAAGGCTGCTGCAGGGGGAGGCTGAGGCATTGCAGCTGCTTGCCATCTTTACAACAGCAGTGCAGTTGTCCTGGGTGAAACTCGGTGATCAGGGATTACATTGGCTTCTGGCAAGCTCGTGATTCCTTTTTCTGTATTTCCTTGTGCTTTGGGAATGCATCCCCTTGCTGGGAGAAGAGCTGCAGCCCTGGAGCTCCTTTCTCAGTAGCTCTGTCTGAATGGAGGGTTTGGGCTGTGTGCAGCTCGTGGCTTGAAGCTGCTTTTATAGCAGAGCCTGTGTTTGTGAAATCCTGAGTCACAGCTCAAATGGCCAAGTACAGACTGTCCTTTAGTGCTGCCCTTGCATGGTAGTAGCTGGAGGTGGGAAGCAGAGGGGTGTGAAAACGGGTGATCTTTAGAGCCCTTCCCACCCAAACCATCCTGAGATTTCAGGATATCAAATGCCTGCCCAGCAGCAGCCCCAGAGGAAGCTTTCTGGCAGGATTTGGCTCATTTGTTCACTTGTTTGAGAATGTGTTATATCAGCATAGGTCTAATAGGCTCACTTTTTATTTCTCCTTGTTTTTTAGGCAAAAAGACTTTTCTTGGGCAAAACAAGTCGTTTTGGGGACCTCTAGAATTAGTAGAAAAACTTGTTCCTGAGGCTGCAGAGATTACAGCAAGTGTTAAGGATCTCCCAGGGCTGAAGTAAGTACACTCCTGTATTGTATGAGTGCATAATAGGGGTTTTATTGTGAGAAGGATCCTGGAGAAGAGAAGCAAGGGCAAACAGAACCTTCAGGAATACATCTGTCACCTTCTGCAGATAAAAATGGATTGTTGCTCCCTTACTTTTCATCAAGGATCTGCAGCAGCAGAGCACAGGATATATTCTTGCTCTGTTAAGAATGTGGCAACTTAGGGGCAGCAGGGCATTTACTGCTTGTGCCTCAGGCATGGGAACAGCCTTTATTGAGCATTTATGAAGTCAGATTCAAGAGGAAGGGAATTAACAGGAAGGTGCTAGCAGTTTAAATAGTTTTGAGGCTGATGTAGGTAATTCTTCTTTTAAATAACTTCAGGTAAAGTGCATGTGAGAGGAAAGCTTAGGCACCAAGCTGGAAAATGGTAGTTTGTGTTAAAGAGGGGAGGCAAAAAGCCACAGGAAGCATATATTATTTGTCAGAGTTTGGTAGGAATTGCAGGCTTGCCTATTTCATAGTAAAAAAAACTGTAAGAAGCTTTTAGCTTGGAATAGAAAAAATGGATAAGGAAGCTTTTGTATGAGCATCAGGACTAAGGATGGAGTCATCTTTGCTGAAAAAATAGGTGTATAAATTCAATAAATTGCTTTTGGGTTAGTGCTTAGTCATGTACATGTGTACAAGTGCTTTCCTGGAGATCTGTGCAGCAGCTGACAGGACCAGTGCTGTGCCAGGACTCCTGGTACCTCTTGCTGTTGTAGAGCATGGTAACGGGAACTGAATGGAAGTGAAGAACAGTTTGAGAGTGTTTCTAAGCCTTGTGTTCACAGTGACCCTTTACAAGTGCCAGGTCCTGTTGGGGAGTCAGGAGTGGGCAGTAGTGGCCATGGCTTCCTTGGGCTGCTGCTGCTGTGCCAGGTGAGGTCAGACACGCAGGCCAGCATGTTAGAGTGCTGTCACCCCAGGGGCTGGCAGAGAAGAGGGGCAGGACAGGCACTGTGGCATCCTGTGAGGGCCTTTAGGGACAGAGCAGCTGAGGAGAACAGAAGTGACTTGGTGTTTCTGAGCTGTCTGGCCAGATTGCCATCCAGCTGGCCCACCCCAAGGAGTGGTGTTGGGCAGCTGTGCTGGTTTGTGCATGTTTCTGAGACTTAGGAGAACTGGTTGTGACCTGAAGCAGCTGATCTGTCTGGCAGCATCCAGCAGGGATAAAGCCAGGCAAGTCTTTTCAAAATGGCAACAAAACCATCATGAGTTAAATGACAAACAGTGGTGGCTTCATCGGTCTGTTTCTCTGCACCAGTGCCAGCTCTGTCTTGCAAGTGCAGAAACTTGAGGTCGGGTGGGGTTATTAGAGCTGCTGGTGACTGTGCCTTGCAGGGTGTCTGGAGGTGTTTGTTTCTGCCCTTTGCAGGACACCTGTGGGCAGAGGAAGAGCTTGGCTTCGCCTGGCTCTGATGCAGAAGAAACTTTCAGAGTACATGAAAGCCTTGATTAACAGAAAGGATCTTCTCAGGTGAGTGCTAGACTCATTCTCATGAGTTAGGTTAGGTTCACTTCTGCTCTCCTGGTGTAAGATCTTGATCATGTTCCCCATGTCACTGCTCTGTTTCTCTTGCCCTGCATCCCACAGTGAATTTTATGAGCCCAATGCACTGATGATGGAAGAGGAAGGTGCCATCATTGCTGGCCTCCTCGTAGGCCTGAACGTCATCGATGCCAACTTCTGCATGAAGGGAGAGGACCTGGACTCTCAGGTACTGGGTGTTCAGTTAATGGGTTTGTTCTGCTCATTTCAACTGGAAAAAAAAATTCATTAATTTTGCATAGCTTACTGATGTGATGAACCCCATCAGCAGGTGCTGATGTTCTAGCTGTAAACTTCAACACCTGGCAATAGTGGGTTGGTCTTAGAAACCAAGTGTTTAATGCAAAAAGCATTTTTTCTTCTCCAGGTCGGAGTTATTGATTTCTCCATGTATTTGAAAGATGGGAACAGCACGAAAGGCAGTGAAGGGTAGGTGCACACACAGTTGTCTTGCTGCTCCTCTCTTGGGAATGTGTTCCCAATGTGTTCAGGTGTTCCAGACTGCCCTGTTTCTTTTTTCCAGAGATGGTCAGATAACTGCTATTTTGGACCAGAAGAATTATGTGGAAGAACTCAATAGACATCTAAGGTGAAACGTGTTCTCTTGGCTCTTTATTATCTCAGAGAGCAAAAGACAAAACAGGATTTTAAGAACTTTAAGAATTACCGTAGGGTTTTTTTCTCTTCCACAGTGCTACAGTAAACAACCTGCAGGCCAAGGTGGATGCCTTGGAGAAATCCAACACAAAGCTGACTGAGGAGGTAAGTGTTACAGAAAACCACGGGATTTTTTGCCCTTTGAGAGTTAGGGATTAACCAGGGAGGGAGGGGTTCCTTTCAGATGTCTGGTATAAAGAATGAGGGGAGTTCAGTGATGGAACTGGAACAGCTGACCTGCCAAGGAATTTCACTGGCTGTCGCTACTGAGCACAAGCTGGAAAATCAACTCTATGTTTATGTAAATTTGCAAAAAGTAAAGGAAAAAATGTCCTAAGTGAGATGTCCAGCAGATATGTGAGGCATAGGTACAGTCTGTGTTTTACCATGGGTCTGCAGCTCATTACTGATGGCATAAATGTCATCATGTTTTGGGGCCAGCTCCCTGGCCAATGGGTGGCAGGTGTTAGCTGACAGAATGAGTGGCTTTTGGTGTATGACCTGCACAGTGTGGTACCAGGAGATGAATTGCAGTGGTGGCTGCAGTTTTGTGGGGGTTTGGTAAGGAGGGTGCCAAGGGAAGCCTGCAGTGTGTGCAGAGTGAGGCTGCAATGCCAGCACACGCTGTGCCAGGCAGGGGGTGGGTGATGAGCTGTGTCACATGTCACAGCTGTGTGTGTGTCGGGCCTGGGCTCTGCCAAGGACTCACACTCGCACCCGGGAGTTGTGTTTGGGTTTGGCACAGGATAGCAGGGCTGACCCCTTTGTCTCTGAGCTGCTCCTGTGTGTGAACCTCAAGTGAGTTGGGAGTTTCAAAGCCAGAAGGAGTTTCTGAAGTCCCTTTTGCCTTTGACCACACACTTACCATGAATCTGTTGGTCTGCAGTGCAGTCTTCCCTGGGAATTCCTCTGAGCCAGCTGTCCTGTCCCTAAGAGTGCTGTGTGCTGCTTGTGCTCTGTTTCCAGCCACATCTTCCTCTTCTGGTGGGGTCAAGAGAGAAAAAAGCCAGTCAAGTACGGTTTTGGTGCATTACTGTTGTGTTTTGTTCCCAGCTTGCAGTTGCCAACAACAGGATCATTACACTGCAGGAGGAGATGGAGCGGGTCAAGGAAGAGAGCTCCTACATCCTGGAGTCCAGTCGTAAGGTTGGTGTGTGGGTGTGGGTGTGTCTGTGTGAGGATTGCTGAGCCCTGGGGCAGGCCCAGCCTGAGTGCCTTGTTTGGAGCGGGGTTTATTTCCTTGTGTGTCTCACACAAAGCCCACAGTGGATTAGAGGGATGGCAGGTGGGCCCTGTGCAGAGGGAACAGATGGGCCCTGGCCACAGGGAATCCTGCCTGGCCATAGAGATGGAGCAGGGAGTGTGTGCAGAGCTGGGAGCTCCCACAGCTCGCTGGGCAACGTGTCAGGGGATAGGAGGGAGGGAGACTTACTGTGAGGAGGGCAGGAAAATCAGGAAATAGGGCTTGTGTTGGTTTGTCCTGAATTGTTGCAGAATTCCAAGTGTTGGGGAAAAGCCAATAGCGAGGCCAAGTGAGGACTGGCAGTCCACATTACCAAGTGAACCGTGTCTGTTCCCTCAGGCCACCAAGGACAGAACTGCTGACGGGCAGGCACTGACTGAGGCACGGAAGCAGCTCAAGGAGGAGACTCAGCTGCGCCTGGTGAGCACTGCAGGGGCTCGGGGCTCACCCCACAGGGCTGCCAAGGGTCACTGCTGGATACATACATGGGGAGCAAAATGCCTGATGTGAAGGTGTTAAGGAAATAAAACCTGCTGCAGGAAATAAAATTTTTGCTTAGACCTCTCCATGCCAAAGACAGGCCCATATAGAATTCCCTGACTGTGCTAGCCATGCTGCACACCTGGCTCTGATACTGAAAACGGGGGAGCTCCTCTCCCTCAGGCATGTGCCAGATGTGTGACTCTGAAGCTGTGCAGGGCAGCTCACTCGTGGGGAGGGACCGTGTGGGCAGAAGGGAAGGGTGGTTACCCTGGGCCATGAGGGGAGCTCCTGGAAATGCTGAGGGCTCCTTGTGTTCCAGGATGTGGAGAAGGAGCTGGAGGCGCAGATCGGGATGCGGCAGGAGATGGAGCTGGCCATGAAGATGCTGGAGAAGGATGTCTGTGAAAAGCAGGATGCACTGGTGGCACTCAGACAGCAGCTGGACGATCTCAGGGCTCTAAAGCATGAACTGTCTTTCAAGCTGCAGGTAGGGAGCTAAGGGAATGCAGGGAATTGCAGATGAAGGTGAGAACTGCAGTGCATTTATTCCTCCTGCCTGTTGGAAAGGGGCTGGATGTGGAAGGCTCACAGGCTGTGCACACTCCTGTCCTGCTGTGAGAACATGGGAACGTGGTGGAGGGTAAAGGCAAATGCAATTTCTTCTGAACAAAAATCCGTCGTGGTCCAGACATTTGTGTGTGAGACGGGAAAGCATCTTGTGTGGTTCTGTGGTGTGAAAAGAGTGATGGGAGCTTTTGTGAGTGGCCCCTGGTGTAACTCCAGTGTGGTGACACAAGCAGACTCTCCCAACAGCAACACAATGCTCAGAACAGATCCTAAAACCAACTTGACAACAGGAAGGAGTTGCTTTTGCTCTCCTTGAGTCAATGGCTTTGTTCAAAGCAGCCGAATTATATTAAGATATTGAATATTAGCAGGCATTGCATCATGCATTTTCCATATCCAGGAAGATTCCTGGATGGTGGCATTGCTCTGTTGCAGGGTCCAGATGGAACCTGCGAGATGTTGGTCCTTGCAATACTGATCTGGCATTTACCATTCCAGCACTTTTCCCTGCTTCCTTGCCTTCTGCCCCATTCCATGTGCCAAATGATTTACGAGTGTTTATCTGGGATTTCCTGTTCCTTACACAACTCCCTCCTGCTCCTTTTCCCAGAGTTCAGACATGGGAGCGAAACAGAAGAGTGAATTAAACAGCCGCTTGGAAGAAAAAACAAATCAGATGGCTGCCACCATCAAACAGCTGGAACAAAGGTAAGACAGGAAACTGAGCCATGATCCACTCGTGTGTCCTTTAGTGTAGTGTCCCATGGATCCAGAACATGCCAGGGGAGAGTCCCAGAGCTCTGCTAGACAGAACTGCTGAGGGGAGCAGTGGGAGCAGCACCTCTGGGACTTGGTTAATGAGGAACAAGGCATTGCACTCGATTGGGTGCTCTCATTTTAGGGTTTTTGTTGGGAAGGGTTCTTAGTAAACAGGGTGGTTTTCTTTGTAACAAGTTAGTGTTTCAAAATGTTGCATGATACCTACTGAGCTAATTCACATGTTCTTTTTCTCTTGCTGTTCTTATTTTTTCTGTTTTCTCATCATCCTCATTCTGACTTACTTATACAGTGAAAAGGATTTGGTGAAACAGGCAAAAACTTTAAATAGTGCAGCAAACAAACTGATCCAAAAGCATCATTAGACATTTTTATGTCTGGCCACCTCACAGCTCTGCCATCAGAACTCATTTATGAGGGGAGAACTTGAGAATTGCTAAAAGCAACTGTTAAAATGTTAATTGTCACCTAAAGTTGATTTGGGATTTGCGGAGTTTTTAAAATCAGTGAGTTTTTCTGCCGAGATTTAGTCGGGTTTAACAATCCCCAGCCCTGCCATTTAAACCATGTTCAAGTACCAGCGAGCTGGCCATAAGCACCCCGGGAAGGCATCGGGAGCGGGGAGTGGCCGTGCCCAGCAGCACAGCCGGGACCGCGGCCAGCTCGGGACACTCAGCTCCTTTTCTGTCTTGCCCTTTTGTGAAGTAGATGAGAAATGCATCCCTGGAAGTTGTTGACAGTAGTTGTGTGCGTAGCCCAAGCCGTTCCCCGTTCTCTCCTGTTCTGTGGGTTCAGCCCCGAGTCCGAGCCGAGCGGGCGCGACGCTGGCCCGGCAGCGGGAACAGCGGCCCTCCCGTAACCAGCCTGCCTGGATTCTGCCTTAGGGACTTGGGGGGAGGGTGGGGACTTATCCTTATTCCTTTCAACTTCATGTGTCCAGAATTAGTAGCTGTAGGTGTCTTAGAGTAACACGGTAGAGTGGTAAGTTCAGTGGAAACCTCCTTCTCTTTGCATTGCTTCTACCTCCGCCAGGAATCCCTCCAGACGGACCCCGTGGTCCTTCCTGACCCAAGGAAGTGGAGGAGAGGTGTTTCGGGAGGTCTCTCCCCTTCCCAGAAAGGGAAGTTACCGGTTTTATAAAAAAAATAATCTGATCTTTGTTTAAAGGAAACAAAAACACATTAAAAACAAGAGAAGGAACCCGGTGTGCAGCAGTGGGGAGTGGAGATGGAAATTTGGTCCTTGCCCTTTTCTTGTCCGAGTAGTTGGTGGCTGAAAAGAGTTGCCTTGTACACTTTTTGCATTTCTTCTGAGTTTGCTCTGCTCAAAACAAATGGAATTTGCTAATGGAACAAGAGCTAAAGCTTGGAAATGCCTCTCAATAGAAAAATAATTGCCAGTTTAACACCCCAGTGCAAAATCTGAAGTAACTGTAGCTTGTACTATTATAAACTAACGTTCTTTGATCACTGAAGTCCCTGTGCTGGCCTCTTGCAGGCTTTAGGTTTCTAAGTGCTCCTCGAGATGTTTTTCTTTTGGAAGGTCAGATTTGGGGAGTTCCTGTGTCAAATAAGGGGTTTTTGCTCTGGTGAGATGGCTGTAGTAATTCTTTGGTGCCAGTTCTCCCTTTGACCTCTGGGACGGTGCTCCTTGGGTGGCAAATGTGACAAACACAGGAGGGAACACCTCCTCAATGTGTTTAAAAACCCCCGGGGCTCAGCCTGGTCCCTGCAGATGTGAGCGTGGGCCACTGTGGGGCTTGTTCCCCGGGCTCCCAGCACAGCCCTGCTGGGAACCTCCCTGCCCCGCCCGAGCTGCATGCTTCAACCTATCCACTCACCCTCTGTAAGCTGCTACTAGAAACTCATCCTAACTCCCTGGAGAAAAAATCATCCTGAGGGAAAGGTGCAAGCTTTGATCGAGGTGTGTCAACAGCTGCTAAGGGCAGGAACCCCCCTGCCCCTTGCCACAGTTCTGCTGTAGGAACAGGGGGTTGGATGGTGAGGTTTGTGCAGAAATCAGACAGCTTTTAAGGATCTGGCTGCTTCTGATGTCAGGCCCCGAGTGGGAATGTGGTGGTGTACCCATGTCTGGGGCTTGAGCCAAGGTTTCCATCCCTGGGAGAGACCAGGAATATGCACTAATTCTCAATAGAGTAGCTACAACCTATCTTGCAAGTTCCAGTTACCTGTGCAAAGCTGAGATGTAACGTACATTAAACCCCAATTGGACTTAAAATTCTGTGTACTTGAGGTTTGCTTCGAATCTGGATAAAAGTGATGTTTTCTGTTTCTCATCTAATGGCTGTAAACTGTAGTGATAGAATAAAAATATTGAAAACGAGAGCTTCTGCCTGGTTCACCTACATTTTGCTTTGCTTTGAACTATTTTCCTCCTTTCCATTGTTTTTACCATTCTCTTTTTTTGGCTTTACCTTTTCACTGGGTTTTTTATTTGTTGGTTAAACTCAGTCTTCCTCCCCACCATGGCTTTTGTTTTTTATCACAAGTTCATGTGGCTCAAATCCAGATTGCGACAGGCAGAGAAGGAGCGGCAGCTGGCCCAGCAGGACAACCGGCTCTTCAAGCAGGAGTTTGGGGACAAAATCAACAGCCTCCAGCTGCAAGTGGAAGAGCTCTCCAGGCAGCGGTGAAGAGACCCTTTTCCAACCTCTTTTCTGGGCTCTTGTTGCTGTGTCTGGGGGAGAGCAGGTGGGGTGATGGCAGAGGGAGCAGGGCATGGACAGGGAGCGTGTTAGATGGCACGAGTGTAACTCCAGGCAGGGAAATCCTTGCTAACAGCATCACTTGGACACTGGCTGCCCACAGTAGTTGTGGATGCCCTGTCCCTGGATGTGTTCAAGGCCGGGTTTGACAGGGGTTGGAGCAGTCTGATCCAATGGAAGGTGACCCTGCATATGGCACAGGGTAGAACAAGACAGTCTCTAAGGTCCTTTTCAACTCAGACCTTCTGTGATTCCGTGATAATTGCAAATCCAAAGCTAACATGAACAATTTGCTGCTCCTGGGCAGGCATTGAGCAGCCAAGTCTCTGTCTGGAGCAAACACTGAAGGGGCTGGAGCAAGGGCAGCGATTTTGGTTTTCTTAACTGACACACAGTACTGTGATGTGGATTTTTTCCCCATTGAAACTGCTCTTCGTTTTGCTGGAAGCCAAACAGAGACCTTGTCAGAAACAATCACATTTTCCCCTGCAGCCTCATCACTTGAGCAGTGTCAGGGACACAGACAAATCTCTTTCCTTAAAATAGAAGAGCATCTCCTGCAGCCTTGATGCATCTGTGGCTTGTTGCAAGGTCACTGGGATGAATTCTGTGGGAGCATTGATGGATGCACGGAGGTTTTTGTCCCTTCTTCCCATCCTGGCTCAACTTTTTGTTTCCTTTTTCAAAAAGCTGCTCTGACAACCAGAAAATGGCTTTGGTCAGCAATTGGCACAAAGTCCTGGGTGTGCATGGGTGAGCTTAGGAGGACATGGCAAATGGGTCTGGTTTTGCATCAGTTGCATGCTAAATTGTGCCACAATTAGATGAATGACTTGTAGATTTTTCATCCTGGCACATGATAGCCAAACACACTGTGAGACAGACAACTTTGGGTTCCAAGAGGCAATTTTAGCTCTTGAGTTAGGGGTGTGAACAAAGGGTCAAACAGTTCATCAGTTGTCAATGCCAAGTGTCCCAAACCATCCTTTATTCACAATTCCACCTGGCATTCCAGGAGCCACCTAGAACTGGAGCTAAGGCGGGAAAGAGACAGATGGTCTCACAGTCACCAGCGCAGCCAAGAGAGCAAAAAAGGCCCAAAGAATTGGCTCAGACAGGTAATGTGACTTGGGTTTTGGCTCGGCTTTGAGCTACAGTTTCCCTTGGCTTGTTTGCTTTTCCTGAGCTTTCTCAGGCAGTAAATGGGTGTTGTTCATGTGCCACAAGCAGAGGAGCTTTGGGAAGATTTTTACATGCTCGGAACAGGCAGTTGGAGTTGTAAGGAGAACTGTGCAGTGACAGAGACGGCTTCTGCACTTCTTTGTTTCTCCTTGGTCTCCTTGAATGGTGCAGTTTTGTCTTTTTTGACCAATATTACACAATTTCAGTGAAGTACTTTAGGCCTTATGGCTCAGCTGTGACCCACATCTCAGCTGTGGAGAAGGGGAGGATTCTTTTCTTTGCTGACTGGGGAAGTTTGGTCAGGTTTTACAAAACCTCTTCAACCCATCCTTGTTCTCACCCTTTGCTCTGCAAATAAGAACTGGTGACTGTGGTGCTCCTGGTAGCAGCAGGTCGTGGGACCCCCGCCCACCTCTGAGAATCCCCTCTCTCAGCACTGAGAGCTGCTCCCAGGGGAAAGTGGGACACAAATATCCCTCTGTGCCACGGAGGGGCAGAGCAGTATTCCAAAATAGCAGTGTGGCAGGAGTGAAACTGGAGTTCTCCTCTGGTGCAGCTGATGGGTGAGTGTTTCCTCTTGGCAGGATGGGAAGCTCAAAACGCAGGAAGAAAATGCTAAAGTGAAGGAGCCACTGAGAGACAACAGTGTCGTGTCACACAGGTAGGGAAGGAGACAAATCTCAGCTCTGCCTCTCCTTTCTCAAGTCCTGCTTTCCCTTCTCCCATTTCTGTGCCAACAGGGAGTTTGGAATAGTACAAATTTCCTTTTAAAGAAAGATTTCCAACTTCATGCCCTTTGTTGAGTTCTCTGCTGCTTTTCCATAGATCTCAAAGGGAAGGAGGAGGTTGTATTGTTTGCCATCAGTGTTTGCAAATGGGAAAAGCTCTGTGTCTTTCCCATTTACCTTGGAATTTTTTTCTATGTTTATCTGCTGTTTACTCATTTTTCTGACTCGGGAATCCTTGGTAAGCCAAATGCAAGACCTTTGGAACTCGTGTCCAAAGTACCTTTGGTGAGGGAAAGGAGAAGGGTGTTTGGACCTCCTAAAGAGCAGCTGTTGGGAAAAAACTTCAAGTCAAATTTTAAGTTGGCTGTGTAAGATTGTGGTTCAGGTCACTTGTTTCCAAGCTGAATTATTACAGAGGAGGGTTCTTGTTGCAGGATTTTAGTAATTGGTTTTAGGAGGTGTTTTCCCAGCCCCTGGACTGAGGCTTTGGCTCGGGGATGGAGCAGCCCATTGAAGTGCTCTGACTGGGCTCTGCTGCAGTGTCTCTAGTGCCAATGGAGAGGCACTCTCCCTTGAGTTAATCAGGAAAATATCCTCTAAAAATAGCATAAAGCACTTCAAATCTGCTTTGCCAGATACTAAAAACCTTCCAGGCCTGAGATGCTTGTTACCTGTTTCACCTGGAGTGTTTAAGCCAGTGAGGGTCATGCTGATGATTTACAGGCCTCGTGGTGCTTGACTGCTGTGTTTGCCAGCGGGGGTAGGGATCAGCAGGTTCAGACTGTTTGGCTTTAGCACCTCTACAGTCTTGTCTGTGTTCGTGCTCCCTCTCTGCTGCTTTCCTGAAGGCATTTTGCAATTTTTTTCTTCTTCTTTCCCCATTGGACCAGGAGTGCTATTGAAAAATCCAGGGAGGGTTTTAGAAACAGGATGAAGGAATTCCCTGCTAACACAGATGTTTTATTTAAAGGCTCTGCTGATGGCAGGCCTGCTCCAAGTGACACTGTTGTTCCCTTGTAGGTCATCCAGCAACACGCAGGAAGAGCAGGTGGGTGATTTTTTTTCTTGGTTGTTTGCTCTTTTCCTGTAAATCAGCTGGACCAAAATCCTCCATGCACCCAGGAAAGCACAGCCAGACCCCCAGAGTGCCACTGGGATGCCTTGTGTTGTCTTGTCCACTGGGAATTTCTGCTGCTGTCAGCTTGTTCCCAGTGAAAACCATGCTTAGTTTCCCCCTTGTTGCTGCTGAGCTCTGCCACAGGAGCCATGTCAAGTAGAATGTCTTGGGTTTGGCTTTAGGAGCAGCTGTCAGGGCCTGGGCACGCCGAGGTCTGCCAGCTCTGCCAGGAGGAGGCCAGCCGGAGCCAAAGAAAGGTGAGGCCTGGACTTAACTGGCATCTCCCACATCCAGTGACTGTGAGTTCACTCTGCTTTTTGTTGTGCAATCTCAGATTCCTGCTGGTGGTTTGTACCAAGAAATCAGCCTTTGCAGGCCGCTCTGCCCTTAACAGAACTTGGTTAAATGCTGACGTGGTGATGGTTCCTTGCTCTGCCCTGCTCAGTGGTTTGCTTTTCCTCCCCCTTAGCAGCTTCTTTCCTCCTATAGCTCAGTGCTTGTTTTTCCCCGAGTTGATCTGCCAAGACCTGAACCTCTCCTTGACTCCTCTGTCCTTTTCCTGCATTCCAGAACATCTGCAAGAACTGTGGGGGCACCTTCTGTGAAGCCTGCTCGGTGCACGAGCTGCCCCTCCCGTCCAGCATCAACCCCGAGCGTGTCTGCAACCCCTGCCACCAGCGGCTCATCCAGCAGTATTCCAGCAGCCCCTTGTAGGGAAGGGGTGCCCCAGAGGTGACCAAGAGCAATTGTAGCTGAAGGTGTTTCTGGAGCTGTTCAGGGGGAATGTGAAGAACTTGCCCGTGTGCTTTGGAGGTCGGATGGGAAGCAGCTTCTCGGTGTTTAGAATCTCCTGTTACTAAAACAACAGTCTGAGCCCTTCTCTGTACCCAAATCAGGCTGTGCTGTGGACAATTGCATTGGGAATGTCACATGGAGCAGCCCCAAGGTGTGCCTGAGCAGTCTCAGGACTCTGGGAGTCCCTGCCCAAACCAGAGCTGTTGTCTGCATGGAAGTTGGAAGTGTTCTCACCCTCACATGTGTGGTGTGGGTGTGTGCTGCTGCTGCTGCTGAGCAAAGGCTCCCCACAACCCCACAGGAGCGCTGGTATTCCTGATGTCTGGCTGCACTTGAAATCCCATTTGCCCTTTTCCCTTTGCCCTGGATAGGCTGGCTCATCCTGGGAACCCCGGGCCATGGTGTGAGCAGGGCAGCTGGGCCACCAGTGAGCACATCCTCCCTGCATTTCCTTGGCTCAGGGCTCTCACCAGGGGCTTAGTCTGCGTAGGGACACCCCAAACCAAGCTGTGAATGTTCTGCTCCCCCTGTGTGCTTCAGGGGCTGGGCTCAATCCCCATCACACAGGGGTTTAGGGCCACTGGGGTCCACCTCTCCACCTTAGACACATGGAAACAGTTACAGTAAACAATAAACCTGGCATTTCACTCCTTGTTAGATCAAAACTAAATGGGAACACTTTTCACCTGTTAGAAATTTTAATTGCACACACAATTCAGAGAGGTTTCATGGTTCCTGCCACATCATTCATTGTTACTGTTCCCTCAAGGAATTTTGTTAGTCCAGAAAGGGATGGTGGCTTTCTCATGTCACAGGACTGTTTACTCCTTTTCCTACGGGCAGTCTCTGAGACCCCAGAATGTCCTGTAGTTCACGGAAAAGGGATGCACTGGTGTGACAAATGCACTGGGGTTTGTACTGATGTTCTTAGGGAGTTGTGGTTAATTCCTTGGAGGGGATTTTCTAGTTATTGGATTGGCTGGAACCACATGAAAAAGCCTCTTGGAGGTGAGGTACTGACATGGTTGGTACTTCTTTGTACCAGGAATCATCTCTCCTAGATCCATTTGGGACTTGGCATGTTCAGCCACCCAACTTGGACACTTCTCTGCTCTTTTGAGCCCCAGGGCAGCTTCCTGGCCCATTTCCTTGCTGGTATCCCCAAAAGTATGGCAGGAGTTGTCAACAGTGTTGAAATACCAAAAGCCTGGAATTCAGGTGAATTCCTGAGCTCTCTGAAGGGGTGAGACACTGGAGGTGGATGGAGAAAACACTGAATGTAGTGTCAGTAGTTTTGGGTACGTAATGTACACATCCAACAGTGTGAACTCCTGAGGAGAAAGTAAGACCCAGGTAATGCAAGGGAGCATTAAACTGGAAATGGAGGAATAAACTCCATGGAGCAGGGAGGTGGCTGAGCCTCTCCAGAGCACAGCACTGGTGGCTGCCATGGGACTGGCCTGTGGGAAGGTGGGAGTGGGACCGTGCTGGCTGCCAGCTCCCTTTGTGCTCAGGTACTCTGTGTGATGCCAGGGTGGGCTCACACCTGGACCTTGGGAATGGGGGGGCAGGTTTTCTGATGGTAATTTCGTTTCACACAATAAAAAACAACTTGATCATTCAGATCCTGCCTCCTGAGTGCTCTTTCCATTCCATTCCTCTTGAGCTCGAGGTATGAAAGGGTGCAGAGCACCAGTGTGCACCTGTGTGAGGACTGAGATCACTCAGCTGTTAATTGGCAATCCTGGTGTTTTATTCAGGTAACCTGATGCACCTGGAGCCCAGGACTGCTCCACCCTGCAGCCTTGGCATTCCCACTGCTGCTGGTGCAACTCCTCACATCACATTTATTACAAGCTCTTACACAAGGCTGATCTTAGCTTGTCCTCCTCGCTCAGTGGTGACGCTGGGACCTGATCTTCGTGCTCATACCCACGGAATGTGTTTGCTTGGCCTAAAAACAAGGAAGAGGAAAAATAAAAATCACTCACTCACTCCCTCACTGTGGCTTACTGTTTTCCTTCTCCAAGGCCCACTGCTCTTTATTCCCAGTTAATCTTCTATTAGAATGACATAGTACATTTGGGCAATAGTAAAATACCACAGACTCCAGGTGGGACAAGCTCAGGTGGGGCTGCAGCACAGGCACACGGGGTAGGGGTGTTTAATTCCCCCAGCACAGGCACCAGCAGGAGGGAGCTGCCAAGGAAGCGTGAGATGCAGGTAAGAGGTTGGAGTCTGCATCCTGACCCTGCCCCAGGGATTTTTCCCTGGCCTGGATTAAAAGTCCAGGGTGGGTGGGCTGCCCTCCCTGCTGCAGGGCCCAGGGCCTGGGGAGCAGTGACCACCCCCTCCCACTTTCTGAGGGGAATTCATGGAACAAGCTGTCCACCATCCTGCATGGTCACATCACCCCCCACCCCATCTAAATGACCAATTACTACACCCATGTGGTAATGGGAAATGTTTAGCCATGTTTGCTCTCCTTGCCAGGAAATATAACCCCATCAGAGCTTTCCATGCTGCAGGACTGGCACCTGTGGAATGTGGAGGTGTAGTCTGTGGGATCCAGGCTGGACACGTGGTGTCAGGCTGGGGGTGGTTCCCTTCTGCCCCTCTATGTTTTACCCTTGGGACTGGTTTGGAATACTGCAGATTGGGAGCGTTGCCATAAAGAGAGCAGAAGGACAGAGATGGAGGTGCTTACCAAACCTGCTCCTGTGCTGCTGGCACTAGCAGTTCTCGTTGCCCTCAGGATGTTCATTCAGGAACAATTCAATGGCACAGCTCTCTGGGGAACGGAGGAGAGGTGGGCTGAGGTCAGACACTTGCATGTGTTACATTGTTTTGTTGTTTGTTTTTTTTTCTCTGCCAAGCCCATGGCACATCACACCTTGGAAAGCTACACTCAAGTGATCCCTGTGCAGAGTGCTACAGTGGCTGGATGAGCTGTGCCAAACCCCCTGAGGTCTCAGTCCCAGGGCTGTAGGATCCCCTCTCTTCTTCTGACTTACCCATGTGTGACCCCTCCTTGGCCATTGCTGCGACTGCATCCTCTTGGCTCTCAAAGTGCACATCCGCCTCTCCCGTGGCATCTCCATGCGAGTTATATTCCACCAAGATCCTTGTGGGCCTCAGTGGAGCAAAAAACTGAAAAGCAGCAAAGAGTTTAGTGAGAAAGAAAAAACATTAACGCACCCTATTCCCCCAGAAACAATGCTTTTACTCCAGAACTCGCCAACCCATGGCGGGGACTGAGCTCCTGAGCAGCAAAAGGCTCCCTGAGCCATCGGGGTGAGGCTGAGGCACTCCCCAGGCACCTGTCCCACCCCCTGGGAGCTCCTGGCATAGGAACTCCTGCCAGGAAAAAAATCCTCACACCAACCCCATGCTCTGTACACATCACTGCAGCTCCATGTACACTGCTAACATTTCTCTGCAGTCAGCTACTCTGAAATCTGCCTTTAGATTCTCAATGGCTCCTCAAGCCTAGTGATGGATGTTAACACATCCTAGCAAGGATTCATTCCTTCTTATTCACGGAGAGGAGCAGATCCCTGTTATGCCCGAGGCCACAGCAGTCCAAAGCCACACGGCACTGAGGACTAACAGACACTAATTAATTAAAAGCCTGCAACTCCTGCAGCCGTAACAATTAACTGAGGGTTTGCACAGGTAATGACAGAACCACACTTCATCCATAGCCTGTTACTCACATTTATTATGTCCTGGGCACTAGCTTGAGAAGGAACACCCCTCATGTGGACAAAGTGCTGTGGTGGTGATGAGACGTTCTCAGACTCTAGAACGTTCCTGGAGCTTTCTGTTCCTTCCCTGCACAGTTCTGTGGAATGGAGGGAAAAACCATCACTAGTGCTTGCAGTGCCCCCTCCCTCGTGTGAAAGCTGTGGGGTGACACGAAGGGGCCTTGAGGAACAACCAGGGCAGGGAGGGACTCACTAATTTCTCTTTCAGAATAGGAGCCTCCAGTGTCTCTCCAGCCCCTGTCTTCAGAGATGGATTCATACTCTCTCCTCACCCTGGAATAGGCCATCACCTGCTTGCTGTAGGGCACGTGCCTCTGCATCTGGTGCTTTCTGCTCACATACACTTCTATGTACCTGGAGCCAAAGGGAAAGAGCACATGGCACACCCTGCACTCAGGGCTTGGAGAAGGCACCTCCCAGGGATGTGCTGCCTTGGCTCTGCTCAGGTACTGGGGCTGGGCCCTGCCAGGGCCCACCAGAGCACTGAAGAATTCATTCCTTTCACTGGCACAGTTCTCTCTGAAGCCATTTTCCCTCGCTCCTGATTGCTACAAACCCCTAATCTAACACTCTACCCCGCCCCAAAACAGGTCCCAGAACAGGCAGAACCACAACATGCACCAGGTCACAGGAAATACTTCAGCGGAGCCCTGAGATTTTCTGTACGCCTTTGAAATTGATGGGATTTCACTAGCAGTGTTAAATCAGGCAATTTCCAGAGCACTGGAGGAAGAGTGTGATGAAAAGGAAATACAGACATCCAAGGGATGATCCACCCTTCCTGAGGGGAGCAGCCAGAGTAAGGGAAGTAACCCTGTGTACAGACTGACAGAGCTGAGAGCTCAGCCCCCCACCGAGCCCCCACTCAGCACTGGGCACTGCTGGAGATCAACTCTGGTAAAACCAAGAATAATGTCTGGGAGCAAGCTGCCAGCAATTTTGAAAACCCCTCCATTTCTTGGTTAATCACATGGAAATGGAGGTGTGTGAGCCAGATGGGTGAGTCAGGTCAGCTCTTGTTCTGGCAAAAAAAAAGTAACAGTAGATTTGGAACTAAACTCTACTCAAGAGGAAGGGAGTCATATTAATTCAATTAATTAATTAATCACATTCTGCCTGTGGAGCAGCTGTTTGCTTTTAATATTATTGGGGAGGTTAACAAACACAAGGAAATGCAGCCTGGAAACAGGAAGTAAGGAAAAAAAAGAAAGGGAGTTTGTGTGCAGGAGGAGAGGTAAGGTTTGGAAAAGTCTTTTATTATGTGGAGTACAGATAAAGTTTTATTGATTATTGAAGTCAGAAGCCCAGCAGGGAAAAGGAGCCTTGGTTTTGGGTATTCTTTTTTGAGCACAGCTCATTTAAAAGCTGTGTAGCTGTGGTGCTTACAGACAGGGTTTGGGTCTGGGCTGGGCAGTGTTTAGGTCAACAGTTGGACACAGTGATTTTAAAGGCCTTTTTAACCTCAATGATATTATGACTCTGGGAAAAGGTGGCCTTGTGCTTGTTAGAGAGGTACAGGGCTCAGTGCTCTGGAATAAAGCAGTGTAATTCCCAAAGGGGATGTGGTCTCTCAAGAGGTGGGAGATGGCGTGGTGCTGACCAGCAGTTCCTGCTGGGAATGGACTCCAGCCAGGTCAGCCATGCCTCAAACAGGAACTCCTGGAGAGGAAGCACCGGCTGTGCTGGGCACTGGGCTGAAGGGTGGGAGGACGGCTCCCAAAACTGCCCAAAGCATGGAGGAACCTGCTGGAAATCTGGCAGGATCACATGTGTGAGGGAGGCACAGGATCATTGTGCACTGAGGCCTGGGCAGACTGTGTCTATCTAACACTCCCCACTCTGGAGGCTGTCACCCCTTTTCACTGGGATGAGAATGTCTTCAGGAATACCTGAAAACTGGAGGCTTTCTGAGAGGCCTCAATACCCCCCACACTCTGAGTGCTGCCTCTGCCCCCCTCAATGGCACAGTGAGTGTGAGCTGAGCTGTTTCACCCAGCAGGAAGCTCTGAGTCACACAGGTGTTTCACACCGTGTTCTCCTACCCCCTGAACTCCAGGGAGGTACTCACCTATTTCCCATATATTCCCTGTGCCGGAGCAGGGCCTTGGCCGCCATTTCAGGAGTCTCAAACTGCACAAAAGCTTCTCCTGTTCTTCTGTCTCCCCGGTAAATGAAAGCTATGTCTGTTATTTTCAAACCTAGAGATGGCAGGGGACAAAAAGCCATTGACTGTGGCAGAAACTTGTGCTATAGCTCAGAAATCCTTTTCTGTCACGTATTTTTCTGTTTTTTGACAAGCTAATTGGGCAGGTAAATAGTTCTGAAACAACGGCTTATGCTGGCCTGAGTGAATTGCATTCACCTGAGCTGTAACTACCACTCAAGCCTTTTTCCTTCTCAAGTTTGTCACATTATGCACTGGTAGCAATCCCAACTGCAGATCACAACTGCAGTCCCTTTCCTTTGCATCCCTTGGCTCCAAATACGAGTGCTCAAAGTATTCATCCTGGGTTAGACCTGCACAAGATCAGAGAGGCAGGGAAAGTCTGCAGGGTGCTCAGAAAGCCTGTGTGGCTTCTGGGGAACAGCAAGTCCTTACGGTGTTTAAGGTATTTGAGGCTGCACGTGTTTTGCCTTGTCCCTTGGGGAACAACAGCACCAAGTTAAGGAAGAGCGTGGCCCAGGCTGAGTTACCTGAGAAGAAATCTGCAATGTCCTCCTCGGTGGAGGTGAAGGGGAGGCCTCGGAGCAGCACGACGCCGTCGTTCATGGCCTGCGACTCGTCCCGCAGGTTCCGCAGCAAGCCCTCCACATCGCTGTCGTGCACTTCAAAAACTGCCAAAGGAAGGTGGCCACGGAGCCTTTACCCACATGGCACCGGAAGCACTGCCCTGTAGACACTCTCCTAAGGCAGCTTCCCCCCTGCAAAGCTCCATCCTCTGCCCCTCTGCTTTCCCCGGCCAGCCTAGGACATTTTGGCCCAGTGGTGCCCGATGTGCTGCTGAGCTGCACCCCTGCACCCCTTCACTAAGCAAGGAGTTCCCATTCCCTGGGGAGTTTCACTGACACGTAGCTCCTGCTGCTCCAAACCCACCTTTCACGTAGCGTGGGCCCATGTACCTCAGGTGCTTTTCCAGGGCTCTCTGCACATCTGCTTTGGACTCCAGCTCGATGAGGGCATCCCCCCTGCGCCTCCCATCCCTGTTTAAGAGGAAGTGTATCCCGTTCTCACCGTTCCGAATTCTGCAGGCTGCAAAGCAAGGGACAAACAGGACTGCGTCAGACACGGGCATCTCTGTGTCCTGTACAGGGCTCGGGGCTCATCCCCTCAGCACTGCAGAACAAAGGGTGGAACACTTGCATTTCTATCATGAAGCCTAATGTCAAACTGACTTGCTTTAGTTTGGCAAGCTAGCAAATGATTTAAAAACTTCTATCTGGCCCCTGGGAGGATGCAGCATCGTATGACAGTGGGGAGGACCAGCCCTACAAAGGTATGTAAGAGCTATGAATTAGGATCAGAAAACAACGCTGCACTTTAAACTAATTCCCAAAAACTCCGTCCGATTTCTTAAAAAGAGAAGAGTTTGAGCCAGCCATAGTGGCCTGTAATCCATTACTGAATTGGATTGCCTTTGCTGTGGAGACATGGATTAAGAAGAGAAAGACATGCCCAATTAAATTTAAGAGAACCTAAGGATGAGGTTCTAGTCAGTGTCCAGCAGTCTGGATCTTGACTATTCCCTTTATACGTGTCAGTTGTGAATAATTTTAAAGCCCTAATAAGTCCTCATCTTTCTCTGTCTAACGATCTCTCAATTATCCTTCTGTTAAGTAGTCATGAACTAACGGGCTCAATACCAGCATGCAGAACAGTTAGGCAGGAAAATGAACACCCGTACTATCAAAGAAGGTAAGGACATCTTCCTCGGTGCACGAGAACGGGAATCCTTGTGCCCTGACGAGGTAGACAGTGTCGCTTTCCGCCTTGGGTGAGGCGGGCTCCTGCTCTGAGAGGCGACCTTCGTGGGACGGAGCATCTGTGACCTGTCACGGACACACGAGAGAAGGCCCCGAGAAGGTGAGAAGCGGGAGGCCGCGGTTTCCCGCAGGGGTCGGAGCCCGCCATTTTCGCGCGGCCGTACCTGGCTGTATGCGCGGAGGGCGGCGCGGAGCGGGGGCGGGGGCGGGGCCGGGGCCAGGGCGGGCCGGGGCAGGCGCAGCGCGGGCGGCAGCGCCGGGCTCCGGCCCAGCAGCAGTGCGGACAGAGCGCGGCGAGCAACGGCGACCACGGCCATGCCGGGGATCGCGGCTCCGCCCCGCGACCTTCCCTCCTCCCTTCCTTCCGTCCCGGCAGGCGCTGCACGGGAAGCGCTTCCCGGGCACCGCCGGCTGCCTTGGGGGTGCCTGCGGCTCTGCTGTCACCGCTGGCTTTTCCTGCCACAGAGCTGTGGCTTAGAAGGACCTGGGTTGGAACGGAACTTAAAGATCATCCCGTTCCACACCCTGCCACGGGCAGGGACAGCTGCCACTAGAGCAGGTTCCTCCAAGCCCCGTCCATCCTGGACATGAATGCTTCCAGGGATGGGGCAGCCACAGTTTTTCTGGGCAACCTGTGCCAGGGCCTCGCAGGGAAAAATTGCTTCCCAATATCCCATCTAACCCTGCCTTCTGCCAGTGTGAAGCCATTCGCCCTTGTCCTGTCACTCCAGGCCCTTGTAAGTAGTCTCCATCTTTCTAGCAGGCTCCCTTCAGGCACTGCGAGGCCACAGTTAAATCACCCTGAAGCTTTTCTTTCCCAGGCTGAAAACATCCTAATTCTCCTAGCTTTTCCTCATAGCAGAGGTGCTCCCTCCCTCTGCTAACCTGGGCGGCTTCCTCTGGGCTTGCTCCAACGGGTCAATGTCCTTCCAGTGCTGAGGACCCCAGGGCTGGAAGCAGCATCCCGGGGGGATCTCGCCAAAATGAGCAGGGCTGATTTTCCAAGAGAGATGATTTTCTCTCCCTCACTCCCCTCCCCGCTTGAAGGTCTCAGAGGCAGCACTGGCTGAACCTGTTGGTGAAGAATATTCTCCTTCCAGGTGGTCTGGGAAGACAGTCCTGCAGTCCTTGCTGCATCCAGGAGGGATAAGGGGACAAGACCTGCCACTAGCCTCTCCTAAGTGCACACGTGGGGAAGATAGGTCCTGCTGAACCCAGAAAAAAATTGTTAGGATTTGGTAGGCGTCCAAGCAGCTGTTCAGGTGGAAGATGGGCCAGGCCAGGCAGGACCTCAGCATCAGGAACATCATGAAAGCCATGCCATTCCTCTTTTCCAGAACCCTGTAGCTGTAGCGTGGGGATCGCCAAGTAAGAGTTGTGATTTCCAGCCACTGCAGACTATCACACCCAAAATACAGTCTTGGGTTTTCCAGCACAAGTCGTTCATCTTGTTGTGCTGCCAACACACTCAATTATCAGAAGCCTTGAACGTTTCTTATCACCGTTTAGAAAATGTGAACAAGCTACTTTAAGTCACCCTCTTGCTGCTGGCTGATGCTTTTGTAAACGATTCCTTGTAACAAACTTTCACATGACAGACTATAACCCTGAGAATAGCACGGCCCCTTGCCAACAGCACTCTCAACCCTCCTGAGTTTTCAAGGTAAATCTTGTATTATGCACATTTTCAAAGGAATGTTGACCTTGGTGCCCAAGTGGTTCACATTCCAGTCTTTCATACCCTACTTACCAGGTTTCTCTTCAAAACCTTCTTTAAACAAGCAAGCAAATGTTATAGGAGGGGAGAAAAATTAAGATAACTATAGGAATTCATCTTGAGCACTTATCTATATCTAGATTGGCTTTTGTGCTTTCAGTTTAACTGAATAAGCAGATACCTAAAGCTTAGGGTCCGAAAGAATGTTAGGTGCATTCTTCTCCTGTGACCCATGCAGGGTGCAAGGGAGAGTCTTTTCCACCCATTTTTCCTTTGATTTGCTTGCTTCCCAAGTAGAGGAAGAAAACACCCACTGCCGCTTGTCTGGCAGCTTGTCAGGTTTGTGAGAGTTACCTTTAGAGGGCACTGTGCTGTTGGGCAACTGCTGGCAATGAAGTTTCCATGGAATCTCAGAGCTTCCTTAGTTACGTGACTGGATCAGAGCCTCTGCACCTGTGGGAGAATATAAAGGTCATGCTAGGATAAGAGAATTTCCATTTATTCACTTCGACAGAACCGCTGTTTAATGAAGTCGGCTTTAGGAGAGGGAATCTGCCTCTAAAAATAGAAAATCTCAGGACATGTCTCCATACTGCTGTGGACCAAGAATTTATCGCCTTGGAAAATTTATCTACCTGGCAGGATGCCTTTTTCATTATTAATGTTCAAGAGGTTGTTGTTAAGAATAATCGATACTAGCTATTCTTTAGTCTGATCAGACTAAAAATGATGATCAGAAAATCATCAGCTGTGATACTAAAACAAGTGCTTCTTTTAGACTGCGAAACACTCCTTATCCCTCTGTGCAATCTGCTGTCAAGAAAAACTGACCTTCTGTTCTCTGGTGGTATTTCCCAAAATTATTTATATGCTGTGTTATTTTTGAAAACGAAACATCGTTTCCCTGCTTTGTATTCCTGATCCTATATACGGGCTCAGTAGTGTGGTCTCATCTTTGATGCCCCTTTCAGCCGGAATGTTCTGTGTTTACTGAGCTGTGCTGAAGAGCTGAGAACTCCAGCTCGGGACAGAAGCCCTTTGCCAGCCGGAGGGCCCTTCCAAAGGAATTGTGTAGGCTCTGCAGTGCGCTGGTTAAACGGAGATGACAGAGGCGAGGCCACGGGAGCGGGTCTGCCCTTACGTAAGGCTGCAGCTCCCTGCCAGCCCCTCGGAGGAGGGAGGGAGGGAGAGCCCTTCATGTGACCCTCAGCCGTCCCCAGCAGCCCAATATTAATGTGAGACATAAAGCCTGCACGTTACATAAGCGTCTCTCCTGGCCAAGCCTTTCCTACTGCAGCAACCAGCGTTTAATTTTAACTTGCCGCTAAAAGAAAACGTTCTGTGGGTAGAAGGAAGTGTATGGGTGGGAACAGAGAATGGAGGTTATTCGTGTCCCAACAGGAATGTGCCAGAAACATCAGTGATCTATTTCTCTTTGATTTACGTGGCCAACTTAGTCTGACAGCATCTGTTACAAAGTGCTCCAAACGCCTGGCCGAAAGGGGAACTGCAAACGTCGTGAAATGCTTTCTAATTACGCCACTGCTGCCCAGTAAAACACTGGATTTTAAAGGTGTCCTAAAAACAGTCGTGTAATTTTAATTTACTTAGAAATGCACTGACCTGGCATTTTGACTCAGTCTGAAGGACAGAGAGTGGAAAATGCAGTTTCAGCATTTAAAAACGTGAGGGAAGCAGGTGACTGTCAATGTGGCCACCTAAGGCGGCAGAGCTGAAATCCCTGACGTGCCGTATGGAAAATTAGCGTTGTGTGGGACTGAAGCCTGTTTCGATGTGCTGAACGTGCCTCCTAAATCTCAAAGTCATCAGGTCATCAGCACTGTGAGGATTTTGGGATGGCCGAATCCCCTGGTGCCGAGGAATCATGCTGTCTGTCCTGAGCACTCTCCAAAATCTGCCTTCTTTCTGACCTAAACAGACCCAGATTTTAGTGTGAAAATTATACCCTGGGATTGCAATTTCTGCCATAAAGAGTGCTGGGATTTGACTATATCTGCCTGCCAAGTGTTTCTTTAAAAAACTGCAGTTTTTTTACCTCAGTTTAGTTTTTTTTTACCTCAGCTGCCCACAGTGTCACCTGAGGGGTGCCCCTCCTTTGCTGGCCGCGTGCCCTCACCAGCCCAGTGAGAAATTGCTAACACCTCACATGTTAAGAAATATTAGAATCCCTTTTGTCACGTTTCGTTAAAAAAGGGTTCGATGAGGCGGGCAGCAACGCCGTTAATACCTTTCTATTTTATTTTCTAGCGGTGGCGTTGACCTACGGGCTGGTACCTGGCCCCCTTTGTCCTGAGGGGAGAAGGGGGGCTCTGGAGGGGCAGGAACTCCCCATTTCCATCCCGTTTCCATGGAGGTGTCTGGGGGCACTCACACGGGCGTCTCCGAGGGGGACGGCGGTGCCCGCGGCCATGAAAGGACTCGCGAGGAGGAGCCGCGGGCCCGTGACGGGAGCCCCGCAGCTGTGAGGGAGGCGGCGGCGGCGGCGCGGGGGCCGCTGGGGGCGATGGCGGCCGGGCGGGCCGTGTCCCCGCCCCGCGGCGCTCTCCCCGCACCCGCCCGCCCTCCGCTGCCATTGGGAGCCGAGCCGCGCCGAGCCCAGGCAGCCGCCGGTCCCGCTCCGCCGCCGTCGCCATGAGCTTCTTGTTGTGAGTACCCGCGGGGTGTGAGGGGTCCTTTCCTCTCGCTCTGCGCCGTCCCGCGGGGCAGGGCAGGGCAGCGCAGCGCAGCCCGCCGAGCGGCCGCCGCCCGCCCGCTCCTTGCTCGCCGCTCTCCTCCGGCCTGGCGCCCGCTCCGTCCGCTCTCCGCTCTCTCCTTTTGTGCCCCGGCGGTCCCGGGAGCGGCCGCCCCGTTCCGCTCCGCCGGCAGGGAGCGGCGCGGCCGCCGCCGCCGCGCCGTGAGGGCGTTTGGAGGGCGGGCGAGCCGGGCTTCCCCTTCCCGCACGGCTTCCCCTCACGGATACGAGTTTGGAAACGGCCGCCGATCGCCAGCGCGGGGGACCTGCCCTGCGGAGGGGTGTCACTGGCTAGGCGAGAGCAGGGTCGGGGTCAGGCACCCCCCGAGGGGTCTCCCCGCGCTTTTACGATGTTTTCGTGCGAGTTTCTCATTTCTGGCGGGCAGAGGTTGGTGCCGCAGCTGGGCCGGGGGCTGGCGTGTGGAAGTGAACTGCGGTGCAGGTGACGGGGCAGGTGGGGCTCCCAAGGACCTGGCCCGGCTTTCCTGCGGCAGGAAAAAGCTCCCTCAGGAGTCAGTGGCGATTCAGGTGCGCGCAGAGCCCCTTTTCTTGAAATTTTGCTTCGTGGGCAAGAGCCGAATGAACTTTGGTCCCTCCCCTTGGAAACAAAGACGAGGTACTTGTGACAATTAACATAAACCGGTTCAGTGACCTATTAATTAAGGCGAAGATGCGCTCTAGGGAAAGAAGGGCGATCGAGGCAGCTGAAAAAGACGCCCTGGAAGAGCCGAGCTCCATTAGGGCCTGGTCCCCGTGAGTGTTCCCGCACACTCCCGGCGCTGCTGCCGGGATATCTGACGGTGGCTGGAGGCTGGCATTGATAACCAGCAGATGCAAACGTAGCCTGGGCTCAGAGAAAAGACTTTATCTCGGAGCTGGAGTGTTCTCCTAAGTTGTGTTCTCATGGAGACAAATAACCCTGGCGCTGGCTTCCTCCTCGGTCCCTCCCTTGTGTTTATCTTTTAACTCTGCCGTTCCCAACCCGCTTTCTGTCGTGCTCCGTGCCCCCGGAGGGATTCGGAGAGCTGCGAGCGGGAGGTGGGTGCGGATCATTGTCCGTGGATGGAGGTACAGTGCTCCTAATGAGAAGCCCAGCTGTCCCTCTCCCTCCTCTGTAATTCTCAGCTGCCACGGTGGAGAAGGGGGGACAGGATTTCGAGCGTCCCGGGAGTCTGGTTTGCAAATTAGAGAGCCGTCCTCTCCGTGGCATTTGGCTAACTGGGAATGGAAAAGCGTGAAACCCTCCACCCTCTGTTAAAGGCAATAATCAGATGCTTGTTTCTTTTTTCAGACCCTTCTGAAACCTAGGAAAACAAACCTTTACCCCCACCTCCGTTGTTCCAAGTGATCTTTGTGGATGAAATATAAACGTGGGAAGTGGAGTTAGTGCACGGCAAAGCTAGAAATGTTGTCAAAGCTGCCTCAGCTGTTGGTGGCAGAGTGCTGTAGATGGCTCCTGATTTGCTCATCTGTAGTCTATAAATGGGTTTTAAAAAAAAAAAAAAAACAAAACTGAAAATATACCTGTTAGGCCTCGAGGTGACCAGGGAAACTTCCTGTGTTGCTGACACGGAGTTTTGGTGGGTTTTTTTGGTTGGTTGGCATTTTTTTAGGGATGCAGAAAGTCAGCATCACCTTTTTGTCAGACTTGAATTTTGGCTTGTTAAGAGTTATTCCGAGGTAGTGTACGGCTGTGTGCAGGTTTAATAGTGTTTAGTAATGTGAATGGCATTTTGAGCTGCAAACCCTCCACGTTTGCATGGTCTGTCACGGTCCTTCTGTCACTGCGCTCTGCTGGTGTGGAGGTGCCAGCAGTGTTTGTCCCTGCCTCAGTGACACTGCTGTCCTTCAGAGGGCTGACTCAGAGTTTGGGGCTCCAGGGGGAGTGTCCCTGTGCAGCAGCGGGAAGGTTTCGTGCGTGGCAGCGAAGCCGTGGCGCAGGTTTGTGGCCGGGGACTGGGCTGCAGCTCGTCAGTGTGACACCCAGCACGGTGCCAAAAGCTGCCTTCTCCCGCGGCCTTCCTTGTTGGCAGATAACAGGGGGATTGTGCCGGGATAACACAGCCTGCGTGGGGCCCCCCTCGCACGCTGACAGTTCCGTGGCTATTCTGCCCTGTTGCTAGGGCCAGTGACACATCAAGCTGCATGGGGGGGAAATAAAATCAAGGGGAACCATTGTCTTCTCTGCTTATGGGGAACACTATAAAAAGACTGTCTTGTGAGGCGAGTCACTGAATTAATACAACTCGCTTTTGACAGCAATTGTTATTTTCAGCCGTGGTTTTCTCGTTCTGATCCGTTCCTTCCTTTCTGAAAAGACTTTGTGAACCTTTCCAGTAGTTGGATAGGTTATCCCGAATCTTTACAAATGCTTTAAAAATGGGAATTGGACTAGAAAATATCTCCAGTTCTAACAAAACACTGCTTGGTAAGTTCTCTCTAAAAGGAAATTACAGCATATTTGCAGGTACTTGAGCTTACATCTCCAAGGCAAAAAAATTAAAGATAGTTCTGGTGGGCGTGCCATATGGTAACATGCTTGTGCTATCCTCTGCTGGCAAGACTTACATAAAAAGGAAGGAAGCTAGATGAAAACCATTTATTTATAAAAGGAAAAGATTCAGATTTATTATTGAAGTTCTGAAGTCGTCTTTCCTTTAAAAAAACCCTACAGAACCCCTATCTTTGGATTAGCGAATCCCCCTCCGAAGGTTCCAGCGCAGGGTTTTTTGTTTCAGAAAGGGATTTGATTTAAGTAGTTGTTGCCTGATCAGTCTTGGAAGGACGAGGAGCTGCTGGAGGTGAGCGAGGGCGAGTGGCTGCTGCTGGGGGCACGCATGTTGGTGAGTGAAGGCCAAGTTCACTTGTGAACAAACTGGGGCAAGATGTGCTCTTCCTTCTCTGCCTTGTTCCACTGCACACTGGAGCCTGGCAGCTGCTTCTGATGCTCCACATGATTTGTTGTTTTGTTATTTTTTTACAAATTTGAAATCATACTTTGTGTCTAAATACGTGTGCAGAAGGTGTAGTGAGGCATTACCTTTCCCCCCCCTTACAGCTCTTGCAGATTAATACCAAAATCAGAGCTGATGGGTTAGTTTCCAGATGGACAAGCAGTGTGGCCGTCCCAGTTCCTCAGGCTGCTCCTGCTCTTGGAGACTATCAGGGCTGTTTGTTTTTGTCCTTTTGTCAGCTTCCCGAGGTACTCCTCGTCCTGGGAATTCCCTTCATAATACGGGCAGTGTAGCAGCTGAGTGTTTTGTGAGTGCTCCTTCCAGAATTGTGGAGGTGTATTTATCTCCTCCTGATCAAGGACTGCCCCAGAGGACCAGTAGGCACTCTTAACCCGGAATTTGCCCATGGAAAAATCAGCATGTCGGCATTTGCAAACTGTTGGGAATGGGAAGTACAGCGAACATCCAGCTATTTTCCTCCCTGTGTTTCTGTGCATTTGTTCGGTTTTAGCTTGAGGAGGGTAAGGCTGGTGTGGGATCAGGACAGCGGCTCTCCACACAGGAATGTGTTAACGTAAAATCAGCTGCTTGATTAGGGATGTGTCCAGTTCCTGGTTGTTGTATTTTTTTTTTTTTTTTTTTTTTCAAGTGCCGGGATTTAGATGTCACTCGAGTTTTCCCACAAGTAATTTGGAGAGAGAACTGTCAAGCTATTGCCAGCTTGCCAAAGAATTTTTTTAAAGCCTTGGTGACAGTAATTTTGAGTTTTTAGGAAAGCAGAAGTATTCTGTAGCGGTTGGGTTTAAGTGGAATCAGCTCTGACCATGAACTTAAAGCGAAGTAAAACCTGGGGTTTAGGGTGTCAGATAATGGAGTGCTGTTGCCTTATCAGTGAGGTTGGAGCTAGAGGGCTAGGAAGCTGCTGCCTGGCTTTTATTTCTGCAAGAATGAGTGTGCCTCGGAGTCACAGAGCTGTGTAGACCAGTTCAGGCTGTGAGATGTCTGCACTTGGGAAAACAACGCTTGCCCCTACTGCTGTGTTTTGGGAACGTGAAGTGAGTGATGGTCGCTTCTAAACCTTGTTACATAGCCCCTTCTCAGATAGAAACATTCGTTTGGAATGGAAAAAAAAGCATAGGAAGAAAGGCATTGTTCAGTGTGAAAGTTGTGTTTACTACATGCTGCGATGTCCGGTCTTAATTGCTTCCTAATTGTTTGCTTTTGTGCCACGATTGTTTTCCCTTGTTTGTCCTTCCCTCTTTGTGTTTGCAGCAGTAAGCGAGCCAATGCCATGAGCTGTTGCAGGGAGGAGTGTGGAACAAGGATCAGTTTTGGGGGTGATTTGTGTGCTGGAGAGTGGCTGGGATTTTCGTCTTTAGCAAATGCCTTTGTCACCTTTTACTTTTCAGACAGGGCTTTGGATTTAGGGCCTCCTCGTGCCAACGGCCATGGGGTCACAGTTCCCCCTCAAGCTGTCCTGAGACATACACAGTCTTTTTTATCTTGTTTGAAAAAGGATAAAATTTTAGGAGCATCTGTACACCAGCGAGGCTGGAGGGTTGCAAGAGGCTGAGAGAATGAAGCTGCTTGTTTTTTTTGTAGAAGTAAATAACTTCATTAAATTTGGCCACTTTAAGTCTTCCCTCGTAGGCAGTAAGGCAGATCTTGCTGCCAGAGCTATCAATAAGCCTCTGACCCACAAATCAGCCTAAACCGCAGGATGTGCTTTTAGTATTTGTAAACTAAGCCACTTCCTATTGGAATTGAGCTACAATGAACTTGCTGTTTGGCTTTTGTTCTTTTTTTGGTTTTGTTTTTTTTTTTTTTTCTCCTCCTTTTAAATACACAGGGAGACTGTGGGTTATAAATTCAGCTACTATGAAATCTGTTTTCAACTAGAACTGAGAATAACTATTACTTTTCACGGACTTGAGGGAATTTCTCCAGCCTTTACATTTCG